AAACATAAACTAACTATAAAATCTATAGATTATTATAAAAATAATGATGTGGTGTGGAACTGTTATTATAATGAAAATACCTAAGACAGTGTTCCAACACAGCGTTAGAGGGAATTATTGAGGTTCAAAAGTTCTCTCTTTGATATATTTACCACAATATGTTATGAAATTGTACGAGTAATATTTGACGAATCAGATAAACACTTTCTTATAAAACAAAACTTGATAAACTATGATGTTGATCTTGATTTGTAAAATCAAATCAATGTGGCTTCATTTCCAAATTTTGCGCTCTTGTAACATATATATATATCTATCTGTCTTTTTCGGTATTTTTTTATATTCATTAATTCTTTTAAATTATTTTCAGTATCATTGAAGGGTTCTGGTGTAGCTATTCAGGATAAAGAATATACTCTTGAATGTAAAACAAGTCTAAAACAAATACACTGGTATAAAGACAACATCTATTTTGGAGAGTCAAATATACAGAATGGTCTTAATTGTATATTTAATCAAGAATCTGATAGAAATTTCTATGAATTTAAAAACTGTGGAGCTGAACATAAACTAACTATAAAATCTATAGATTATTATAGAGATAATGGTAAAGTGTGGAGATGTTATTATAATCAATATACTTACAGTGATCTTACAATACACGTCATCAGTAAGTACAATAGTGTAGGTATTAAGAGTGAAAGCCATCACCGCACGACTCTCGTGGCACTAGAGTTTTTTTTACCTTCAGGATCACTTAAATTCAAGGCACCTAATCGCCTATCAGACTATACAACTGGCTACCGACTGAGTTATTCCACTATCATAAAAAGACATAGTTCCTTTCCAGCGTTAGTCGAAAGTTTACATATTTTGAAAGTTGTTAACTCCTTCAAGGAGATATTTATATATCCTGACATGAGCAAAAATAAGGAAAAAGGGTTCATGTTAAAGAAAATATCAAACAATAAACATTCACATCGGCCAGAAATAAAGCATGAAGGTGGACTTATGAATGACAATTCAAAGTATCTAATACGATTGCACTTGAGTTATTGTCATCTACATTTTAGCCTAAAATAAAGTCACCTAATTCATTACAGCTCTTGCGATTGTGACGTCATATACGGTAGCATTTTTACAATTAAGGAATCAGTGACATTTTTGACCGCAAATTGGAATATTGAAAATAGAACCCATAAATGGCGGCCGGTATACACATTTAAAAAAAAAACCCTTAAATACCCAATATTTTAACAGGATCCATCCAATAAGGTTTCCGATGTTCTCTCTTTGATATATTTACCACAATATGTTATGAAATTGTACGAGTAATATTTGACGAATCAGATAAACACTTTCTTATAAAACAAAACTTGATAAACTATGATGTTGATCTTGATTTGTAATATCAAATCAATGTGGCTTCATTTCCAAATTTTGCGCTCTTGTAACATATATATATATCTATCAGTCTTTTTCGGTATTTTTTTTTTATATTCATTAATTCTTTTAAATTATTTTCAGTATCATTGAAGGGTTCTGGTGTAGCTATTCAGGATAAAGAATATACTCTTGAATGTAAAACAAGTCTAAAACAAATACACTGGTATAAAGACAACATCTATTTTGGAGAGTCAAATATACAGAATGGTCTTAATTGTATATTTAATCAAGAATCTGATAGAAATTTCTATGAATTTAAAAACTGTGGAGTTAAACATAAACTAACTATAAAATCTATAGATTATTATAGAGATAATGGTAAAATGTGGAGATGTCAGTATTTTAATATTCAAAATTTTAACAGTAACCGTACCTTATTTGTAAGAGGTAAGTAGCCCATCAGTGTTGAATTTCCAGGAATGATTTCTTTGTATCAGTCAAATGATAATTAGTATAGGATTATGCGTATTTATCGATATTTGCATTCTCCACATTAAATCAATTGTCGCATTATAGTTACAATTAAACATATACCCATCAATGATATAAACAAAATATCTCACTTAATTCATTGAGAACATACTTTATACAGATTTCCTTAAGTGTCATTTAGTAATTGAGGTATGAATATATGAACACAATTTTATGGATAACAATTACATTAATCATTGCTTGATAAAGACGAAAGTATCATCGTCGAAACGTCGCAAGTTATTTATTAAAGTAATTTTTATCTATAAAATTGTATACATATATTTATACAGATTATTGGTGTATAGAATTCTCAAAAGAAGCCATACCTACTACTTATATAAATAAGCGAATTTGTATTTTTCCATTTCTAGTGCCAGTTAGCAGTGTCCAAATAAAATCTACAAATCTTCAGTTCGGTACAATATTAGTAGAAGAAAGTCAACTAACAACTATTCAATGTGTTACTTCATTTGCTTATCCAGAACCTTCAGTTGATCTTCATGTCTGTTATGATGGGTTGAACAGTAGATGTAATTCTTACACTGCAACCAAATCTAGTGAAAACCACACATTAATAACCTTTCAGTTTACTCTGAATTCTACTCTTGAGTTTGATGATACCGAAATATATTGTTGTGCTGGAAATTATCTAACAAATATTAGTTGTTCAAACTCTCTTAAGATGTATATTTTACGTAAGTTTTGTTTTGATTATAAATTATACAGAGATTTAGATGTGCTACATTATTCGTATGACTTTTCAGAACTAAAATTGGACACAGTGTTTTCTTTTCCATCGAGTTATTACAATTATCATGCGCAATTACATATATTTATGATAGAACGCTGGAATAATTGTCGGATTTAAAGTCTGAATAGTGCTTAGATAGATTAAATTAGACATTAAACATTACTTTAACATTTTTACAAGGTTCGTCGGACTTGGGAGGAAATGGGGGGGGGGGAGGGTCATCTACGACTGAAATTGCCGTCATTCACCCGGACACACAGAAAATCGTATATGATTTGGCCCACGGGTCACATTCTCGATATGTGGAGTATGATTTTATAACCATTCATGGTTAATCGTTAAATACATTTTTGGGGTGAAATACGTTTCAAAGTGACTGATTAATTTTGGGGAAGAATAGATTTTGAAGAATTCTTCCGGGAAGGAATGACCTCACTGAGGTTGAAAAGCACTGGTATGAAATAAAGATTCAACACTTCTTTCGTTCTACACTGGTATGAAATAAAGATTCAACACTTCTTTCGTTCTATTCTAACTATTGTACGACTTTGTTTGATTCTTAAACATTATACATTCATGCTACATCTATGTGTAACTGTTCAGATACATCTGATATTGACTTTGCATTCAACCATAAGTGCAGATAAACATTTTTATTTCAAATTTTAGACCATCCTAGGGTACGAGTCGAAGTGGAAGAAGGAAGGTTATTGTGTATTGCTGTTGGTCGACCTAAAAACATGACATTTTTACCAATGAAACATACTGTAGATAATATATTAGTGAGAGAAATAGAAGGCTATTATATTAATACTACAGTTTATAGTTTAAATATCACAAATAGTCAGAATAATGGTGGAAATTATACTTGTACTGTTAATAATGGTATACCAGATCCTTATACCAAACAATACTATCAGATGGCATATTATAACTTAGAACTTAAGAGTAAGCAGATACTTTCAAATACAACTCCAGCTCAATTAACATTGCATTGCCTAATGGAATTGGCTTTAAAGGGATTGTTAAGAAGTTTTAAAGAAATTTTATTTGTATCGGGGACAATAATAGCATCAATTTTCAATCGGACATCTATGGTTCTTGCAATTCCACTGAAACTAAGCGTTCAAATGTGCATTATCACATAAGGCACTTCACGATCAGTGACATCATCAAACACTCAATTTTAGAGGTATTGCATAAACCACAGACGTTTGATTAAAATTGGAATGGTAGAAATCAGTGTCCTCAGTACACATCAAAATTGTAGAAAACCTTTTTACCTTTCAGTAAACCTGGGTTTCATAGATATAAATGTAGTAAATGTGTGGAATATATCTATGATTCACTAAAATGTCATTTAGACTTTACAGAAGTTTACTATAGCTTCTCTCAAAATATTTAATCCAATACTTGATCACATAAATATTTTAATCAAGCAGTAACACAATCCATTTATTATTTTCTTTCAGTCCATCCAAATCTTTATAATGTAGAAAGAAATAATAATTCATTGGTTGGACAGAATGGTAGTTTTTCTTTGAAATATTTGGAAGATCAAACTGTCAACGTTTCATGGTACAATAATGACACAGACTTACAGACTAGCAGCAGAATAACAATAAGGGAAGAACCAGCAGAAATCAGTCATCCTTATAATAATACTATTAAACTATCTGGTATAAAAACTATATTAACTATAACATCAATTAATATAACTGATCAAGGAAATTATACCTGTCAAGTATGTAACCAATATGGATGTTCTCGTAAAACATTTGAAGTGGATGTGGTATCGATGACAAAACAAATCGGTACAGGTAAGGAAAATTATTTTATGTAGTTAATCTTATTATGATTATGGCGTACCTATTCTCACCCTTGTAAATACTTTACCTTATTATTGACAGCAAATATCCCTTAATCATAAAGAAAGCTCGCACATTATCCCTATCAAAAGGGAACCCAGAAATGTTTATATAGTTGTATAAGTAGTGGTGCGTGGTGAATGCTTACTTTATTTTACTTTACTTTACATTATACTTTATAGTATGCTCTTTTAGGAATGTGTGACTTACTCTAAATCTAAAAAAAAAATCACACGAGCACAATAACTATTACAGCAATTTTGTTATTGCATTTTTCAATCTATACTAACCACTATTACTCGTAGAGCTGAACTTAGCTGCATTTTTATATTTGTATAGATGCTGGAATAATTAATGTGAAGACAGTTGTTACTGGAGCTTCGGTTGGTGCAACTATTATACTGATTTGTATTGTAGTTATCATATTTTTCGTAGTATTCAAGAGAAGAAGAACGAAACTGAATGGTAAGATACAATTCAACTGATCGGCTCAGAACAGAATATAATATTGATACGAGTCTTTCGTGTCGACTCGTGTACCTTAATAGAATTATAAAACAATATAAATCGGTTGTAAGTGTTTAAGAAAGTACATCACATGCATACATATTCAGTTAATTTATTTTTCAGGTCAATCAGAAGGAAAACGGTAAATACCATCTGATTTTTATCTCTTTGTAAACTACGGTTCCAAAATTTCAATGCAACTAAAACATAAAATGCAACAAAAACAAATATCAAACGCTTTTGAAAAATGCTAAAGAATAATAATTTTGTAAATATTAAATGTTTCTCACCTTAAGCAGGTATTTATCTATTCTGGGCCTGAAAATTGTTAAACCAACATGTCTTCATGAACAAATTTATTATTTCAGAGAAGGCGTTCAGGGTAGTCATCATACTAATAGTGTTGTTGAAAGTTCAGGTAAGACAGAGACAAAAATTAGACATTGTACTTGATATCCGTATGCTCATCCT